ATATATATATATATATATATATATACATATATATATATATATATATATATATATATATATATATATATATATATATATATATATATATATATATATATATATATATATATTGATATATTGATATATATATATATATATATATATATATATATATATATATATATATATATATATATATATATATATATATATATATATATATATATATATATATATATATATATATATATATATATATGTACATATATATACATAACATACATATATATATATATATATATATATATATATATATATATATATATATATATATATATATATATATATATGTATATGATCATGCACACATTTTTCTTGTGAACTCCACTGAAAAACCTGATGCCGTCTCCTCACGCCCTCTACGCAGCCACCGCCCATCTGACCCGACCTGCACCTCCTCCTCCAACCGACTGTGTGACCGCGACCTTCCGCAGCCCAGATTCCCGTATGGCACCTCGAAGGGCAATGCCAGCGATGACACGACTCCTCCTCCAGAAACCAAACCAGGATAGGACCGTCCCCTGGGTGCAAGATTCCAGAAAGTTCAAGGTGCCTGCTTTCATGGGAGATCAGCGGTGCTTACTTAAGGGGTCAGCGGAAGTCAAGTTAAATTCAGTGATTCTGGATTCATTCCTGATAGGTCAGCGAAGGTCGGGTCAGATTCAGTCACTCTGGACTCACAGTCGAGATGTCAAAGAAATTCAGTTCAAATTAAGTAGTTGTAGAGTCATTTCAAAGGAGTTATTCCAAATTTGGAATTCTGGACTCATTCCAGATAATTCAGCCTAATCTTAGACATCCATTCGCACCCAAACAAAATTAGAATATAAGATAAACAATTCATAGACTTCATAGGCTACCTACGTTAATATAATCGTTAATATAGAAAAATCAGAAATGCCTTGAAGGATGCTGGTCCGAACTGGATTTACGAACGTCCCTTATTGCACATATATATCATTTATTTTTTCTGGTTAATGAGTAACAGCTACTTTGCTTCCTTAAATCAACATTATATGACAAAATAAACCTTAAACATACCCCCTATTCACTTCTGTGGAATGTCTCTAGGCTAATCTTCGCACAGACTGCATTCAACAGAGACATGATCTTTTTTCCCCCCAGAGTTTAATGCGAGAAACGGG